TTTTTTTTTTTTTTTTTTTTTTTTTTTTTTTTTTGTCCTATACTGTTCAACATTTCATTCAACAAATTTTGGTCTGTTCATTAACTGTTAAATATTTTACAAAAAAAAAAAGAAAAAGAAGGAAACAGAGTTGAACAAAAACAGTTACATCAATGAGCGTTGCAGTACTACAGATTTGTTTTGTTGGCTGGTGCCAACTAGGCCAGAGTTAATTAAGACTCTTACATCATTTATAACAGATTCTGATGAAGTATTTTGTTGAATACATTTTTTTTTTTCAATAAAAACAGCAATGACGACGACGACGACGACGACGACGAAGACGACGACGATGAAGATGACGACGACGACGACGATGGCGACGTTGATGACCGATTAACAATGGTTTATGTGATAGTAACTTTTTTTTTTTGCGAAATTTTTTTTACTTGTTTAATATTTTAACTGTTCTTTTTTAGCTTAAATAACCGTAACACTTTTCCCCACCTCTAATTCCTTTCTATTCGTCTGCTTTTTCTTCATTTTTTCTGTTTTTTTGTACCATTACAGTTACAAATACCATAAAAAGCTTAAATCTTTTAAAATTGCAAAAATCATAATAAATAATCATTAATTACTAGTTTTTTTTACGCCAATAATAATTTTAAATAAAGAAGGCTTGATACTGCTGCAAAATTTTTCTTTTTTCAATTTTATGCAATGATTTTCTCGCCAAAAATTAGCGTTCACTGAAAACTGTATTAAAAGAGTTACCGATGTCAATGTATCAAAGACGGTCGTCTATTACAGCCATATATTAAAGCAATAAACTCATTACTTGGTTACTGCATCAAAAATCTAATAGTAAACTGTGTGTTAAAGTTAGAAGAAAATTAACCGACGGGTTCTGTACTGTTCTCAACAGATATTTGTCTATTTTGTCGAACAAATAAAAAATAGTTTTTTCTGTTTTTTTTTTTCTTGTCTACTAAATTTGTGTGCACATTTTTCCTTCAATGACCTAACCATTGTAGTTGTTCTGCAACAAATACTACTGCACAAGACATTTTATCAATTACAAATCATTTCAAATTTCTATTGAAAATTTTTCTCAAAAAATAACAACTACAACAACATAAAAACTACTTTTAATTTTTTCTTTTTTACTTTCTTAGCAACATTAAATCTGTTAAAAGTTTATTCAACAGTTTTTTACTTGCAACAACACTTTGGTTCTTGCAAGTGTAATGGAGTAAATAACTGCTATAACTGAAAGTAGTAATTGTTCTAAACAGAACTGTAGTACAATTCTGTTCAAAAAAAATTAGACAAATAAAGTGACAAAAAAAAAAATTGTGATATGAAGCTAACATATTAATTTAATTCAGTAATTTTACAGCAAAAGCAAAAAAAAAAAAAAGAAAACTAATATTTTTTATTTAGGTATTCAAATAAAAATAAGATGTTTGTACAAGTCACATCTACAAAACTTCTTCAGCTTTGTTTTCCTCTTATTATCTGTCATCGATACAAGATGTTGAAGAGACTCTTTTAATTGACCAAAAATATAGTTGACTGATACAATCGTTACCAGAACACTTATTTCTCCAACTTATTCTAACTTTTTTTTTCCTTGCTCAAAAACGATACCAATATAACCGCTATCAAACAATTTTTTGTTATGTGTCGACAAGAAAAAAAGTTGTCATCAATGTAATAATGCTGTTTAAGGAAAGAAAGAAACAAAATTTGTGAGAATCAACTGACTGATCAAAACTGATTTTTACAGGAACTGTTTCGCTGAAAAAAACAATTATGGAACAACATTCAAGGGA